CCATGAGAGGTGGTCATGGTGGCCACAGTCACCTTCATAGTGGGAGCAGTCTTGGAGGTGTCTGAGGTGGACATAGAGGGCAAAGTGGGTGTGAACAAAGCAGTACTGGTCTGTGTGAGTGTCACAGTAGAAGGAGAGGTGACAWCAGATGTGGAATGTGTGACACTACTAGAGRGAGAAYTGGCTGAGGACATCTCTGATGTCCCTGTAGACCTGGCATCTGTCGTAGGTGCTGTGGTGACCAAGGTGGATAATAGGGTGTTATGAGTGTTAGCAGTAGTGACTGGGTCTGTGCTTGGGACAGAGGCAGAAGACAGGATTGTACTAGTGGGGGACGTGAACATGTTGCTGGTCATGGCAGGAGAGGTGCTGGCTGCCATGGATGGGGAGGTTGCAGATGTGACTGGAGTCCCTRTGGACAGGGAACCTGTTGGGGAGCTTCCAGGACTCGTGGTGGCCCTGGGAGTGGCGGTCAGGGTGGTGCTAGTCATTGGTGTTGTCTGCGTGCTCTGGAAAGTGGGGGACACGCCAAGGGTCTTAGTGAGGGTTGCTGGATTGCTGGAAGTTGTAGAGGTGGAGGTCATCCCTGTCATCGTGGTCAATGGACCAGTGTTATCTGTAGATAAGGTGGCATTGGTTGTCACTGTGACCATAGGGAGGCCTGGACTGGAGGAAGGTGTGAGCCTGGGTGTGGAGGTTTCTGTGCTATCTGAGGTCCTGGGGGGTGTGGAGATGACAGTTGGGGATGTGCTATGAGTGGGGTAGACATTGGAAGTGGTGACGCTGTGTGTGCCATGAGAGGTGGTCATGGTGGCCACAGTCACCTGCATTGTGAGATAAGTCTTGGAGGTTTCTGAGGTGGACACAGAGGGCCAGGTGGGAGTGAAGGAAGCAGCACTGCTGGTCTGTGTGTGTGACATGGTGGAAGGAGAGGTGACATCAGATGTGGAATGTGTGACACCACTAGAGGGAGAACTGGCTGAGGATATCTCTGATGTCCCTGTAGACGTGGCAGTGGTGGTTGGGAGTGTGGTGACCAAGGGAGATGATGAAATGGTGTGCGTGGTGGCAGCAGTGACTGGGTGTGTGCCTGGGAATTGGGCAGAAGACTGGATTGTACTTGTCGGGGACATGACCATGTTGCTGGTCATGGCAGAAGAGCTGCTGGCTGCCATGGTTGAGGAGGGTGCAGATGTGGCTAGAGTCCCTGTTGCCAGGGAACCTGTTGGGGAGCTTCCAGGACTCATGAGATTAGTGGTCACGCTGGGAGTGGCGGTCAGGGTGGTGCTAGCCCGTGGTGTTTCTGTGTTCTGGACAGTGGGGGACAAGGAAATGAAACGGCTCTGGGTTGCTGTTTGGGTTGAAATGAGTCCTGTCCCCACAGAGAACAAGCCTGTTGTGATCTCACTTGAGTGACTGCTAGATGTCGGTGTTGTGGTGGAGAAACCTCTACTCGTTGAAGCTGCTGTTACTATTCTGGAAGTTTCCATGGTACCTGAGGTGGTGGGAGCTGAGGTGATGCCAGTTGTGGACATGGTGGACCTCGTGTGGTTGGTAGTGGGGTTTGTGGAAGATGGAAGYGTGCTTTTTGGTATTGTTAAGGTTTCTGAGGCCATTGGTGGAGCAGTGTTGGGTTTCAAGGTAAGGACTGTACCGGCCAGTGTGACAGTTGACATCCCTGGGGAGGAGGATATTGTTTCTGTGGTGGGAGTTTCTCTGGGAGTGTCAGCGATGGGAGTGTGTGTGGTTTTCCTGGACGTCATTATCATTGTTGGTTTGTCTGGATGAGTGTGTGTTTGCACAGAAGCCGAAGCAACAGGTGTTGTTAATCTGTGGGTGGCACCGGCTGAATGCGTGGTGGCAGTTTCTGTTTCAAATGTGCTGCTGGTGTTAGGAAACTGTGTTGTGACCAAGCTACCCCTGGTGGTGGGTGATGAGGTGTTCTCAGTGACTCTTGTTAGGAAGGTTTTTGTTGGCATTAGAGAAGGGACAGTAGCAGTCAGAGAGGTCATTCCTGGGGTTGGAGACTTGGTTGCAAGGACACCTGATGGGGTCAGGGTATTCCATCCTGTGGTCCCCTTTGTAGAGGAGGTCACAGAGTCCCTGGTGGTATCTGAGGTTGAAGAAGAGAAGGAGGGTATGGCCATTATCATGGAGGTGCCCCCCATAGTGGTAGAGGTGGGGGAAGAGGTCATGGCTGAGGTCACCTTCTGGGTAGTGGTGACAGGGTAAGTCCTGGTGATGGTTGTCACTGGCTTCTGTGTCACGGGAGTGGTAGTGTATGAACCAGTGAGGGGCACTGTGATCATGGTCATACAGGTGGTGGTGGGGTAGGTGGCGGTAAAGACAAGGGTCGTGGGATTTATACACTCAGTGGTAGACTTGTAGACAAAGACTGTAGGGGGCGTGGTTCCAACCCTGATGGCGAACGTGGCCCCGGGGGTGGTGGAGGGGTTGGCATTGACTGGGGATTTGGGCCCTATTTCAGAACCGGCTTTGAGGTGAGTGGACGTGAGAGGCCTAGGTGTGTTTCCTCTGTGGCCAGGCGTGGGAGGAGCTGTGTGGGGAGCACCCAGGGGCCCCCATGCTGCACCCCTGGAGTGCGGGGAAGGGTAGGCTGCAGCAGAGGAAGATGTGGCCGTGGAGAAAGCCCCTGTGTTGGCAGTAGAGCAACAGAGAAGCCATGAGTGAATCTGCAGGTCATTTGTCCTAGTCACACCACGTAAGTTAGTCACTCTCTCAGCTTCCTGACACATATCCCAGCTCCTTCCCTATCAGGGGCAGTTTGGAGCTGGGGGCTTTGGGGTCCTGAAGCCCACCATCTAGACGTCTGCCCCCGCACAGCAGAGGACACCCTCAGCCCCTTGCTAGGCGGTGCTGAGCACCCCAGTTCACTCCTCCTCCCTCCTCCACACCCCGGGGCCCTTCCCTTCCCCTCCTTCTTCCCCTTGYCCATCTGCTGCCCAGAGTCCTCCAGCCCCTCCTCCCCCACACCAGAGAAGGAGAGACAACTCTCAAGGCTGTGCTGGGCGAGGGGGCATGTCACAGAAATCAGAAGTCAGGGATCAGAGAGGGAGATGTGCAAAGAGGACCCCGAAGGGGGAAAAGAGATTGCAGCTCAGACTGTGCTGAGATTGAGGAACTGATACGTCAAGGAGCACAGAAAAGGGACAAACTCCCCAAAAAAGAGGAAACAGGAGCCATCGGGCAGGAGTTCTGAAGACCTAAGTCCTTGCAGTTAATTTTTTTWWAATGGACATTTTCTTACAGCCAGTTCTGTTCCGGCCACTGGGTTAACTAGTGTACCCCCTCGTTCTTTAGAGATCACCAACCCATTTTATACATGGTAACACTGAGGATCGGCTGGGCTGGGGGTGAGGGGTGGGGGAGACAGGCAGGAAGCATCCCCCCTCCTGCCACTCAGCCGCAGTCCTTCTCAGATGGGGACCSGTGGTGCTTCCTCCTAAGGGCTGGGTGTCACTTCTCAGGCTGGCTGGGGATGTCAGGGAGGTGGGGTGGAGGAATCATGAGGAAAGCAAGCCTGGACCTCTTACAGCCAGAATGTGGCCCTGAAAAGGAGTGAGAGGCACAAACCTGGGTGGCCTAGGGTGGGTGGTCTCAGAGCCACCCTCTGGGTGAAACAAAGGGGACAGTATCTACCCCAGCCCTGGTCACAACAGCTATGACCTGGCTGGGTTAGGGACATGAGGGGCAGAACTGGGGAGAGAAGTAGGGAAACCAAAGGCAGAAAAGCCCAAGAGWGGGAAAGAGGAGCCGGGGACAGAGGATGGCCAGGACTGCACAGGGTGCCGTCCCGGAGGTCCAGGGTGGGAGGAAGACCAAGGCTGGGGTAGACAGCAGCAGTGGGCATGAGGGGGACCAAGTCAGAGGAACACTGTCCCTGAAAGGTTCTGGAAGGTGCACTCCCACCCTCCAGATGCTGATACAACAGTGCCCAGTCCTACAGCCTGCTCAGCTGTTGGTCAAGAGCACAGCAGCTCAGCCGCCCTCCTGTGCACCCGAGGGGGGGAGGGACCACAGCGACCCCTCCTCAGCCCTCCAGTGTGAGCCTCAGAGCCACCCCCACTGYGCCTCAGAACAGCAGCTCCCTTCCTGCTCGCAGTCCCTCTCACCTGTGGCCCCTGGGGAGGCCCTGAGCATCCAGAGGAGGCCGAGGAGCCTGAGCAGCAGCATGGRCGGGTGGGCGGAGGAGCCTGGGAGCAGAGCAGGTGCCAGGACTGGGGTGGCAGCAGGGACACAGCCAGGGCCTGCACAGCAGAGCCCGGCCGTGGCTGCAACTGAAAGTCGTGATTACCTGCCCTGCTGGGCGTGAGGGCCARCGTGTCACCTTTGCACAGCCCAGCCTTCCCCACCCCTTCTCCCTAATCCGGGACCTCAGYGCTGTGCAAAGAGAAGGGAGAAGAGGGGCTGAGACAAGCTCCAGGGGTCAGGCAGGGAGAGCTAACAAGGGCCCGCCCCAGCCGGCCAAGCCCACGCCAGCCTTTCAGTCCAAGGACGCGGCTTTCCTTCCTCCCCCTCCCCTCCCCAGTCAGGTACACCTGGCTGAGGCTTGATCTCTGGAGTCTGGGGAAGCTTGCAGCCACCCCTTAGCGTCAGCCCCACCTGCCAAGGGAGGACGTGGACCCTCTCATCCCTGCTGCCCCCCTCTCTGCACCCCACCTCAGCTCGGCTCTGGGGCTGCAACCCCACATCCAGGTGACCTTGGCTTCAGTACCTAAAGGGGACACAGTTAGCAGTTCCTCTGTTCCAGGTGAAATGAAGGGGGCTGGGGGTGGGACCATCCCTAAGACCTTGGGATGAGGCTGTGCAGAGAGGAAGCCTGAAATCCCTTGCTTCCCAGCAGGCCCAGGGCTCAGAGGGGGCAAAAGGGTTGCAAAGGCAGCTGGAGAGGCCAGGCTCACTGGGAGGTCCTCCAGGGGCTGTGCTGTCCTGACTCCTGGGAGACCTTGTCTAGATCCAGTCACTGGGAGGACAGGGGTCGTGAACACCCAGCACCCAACTCTGGCTGGCACTTGTCACAGGCCTCATGGTAATAAAATTGGAGAGAAAGGGTAACCCATTCCTGGCTCTACTTTCAACACTTTGCCCCCAAACCTTGGCCTTTGGGGGATGGCTACAGCTTCCCCCAGATCCCTGTGAATGGCCAGACTTTCGAGAGAAGCCTGTGCCTCCCTTTAACTTCCCGGGAGTCCCACTTTCATACTGCCTGGCCTGTGGATTGAGGCACTGTGAGGTGCCCCTACAGTGGGTGTCACTGAAGATCATCCTCAGCCCCTGTTTCCCCACCTCTGCCTTTTCTTGCTTCTCAAGGAGCCTGCTGGTTCACCTGGCACTCTGCTCTGCTGGGTTTGTATTAATGTCTGGGCTCATGTCTGGGTCTCAGCTGCATGGAGGCGGCCCAGACAAAGGCAGTTCAGCAGGGCTTCCCAGCTCCTGCGGGTGTAGCACCACAGGGCCCTGCCCACTGTGCTCTCCAGCCTCCCCACCAAGCCTCCATCGGCAGTGAGGGACTGTAGCAGCCTTAACCGGCCCTCTCCCCCCATGGTGCTACCATGACTCTAGWGACACGGCAGCCACCGCCCCAGCGCACAGTACAGGGGAGATCCCCTCTTCCTTGTGGGCAGGCATTCAAATGGCTGAACTGTCAAGTGCCATGGGGGAGCCACCAGTAACAGGCACCACTGAATTGCAGGAGTTCACTTCCTGATTGATATATTGCTTTCTGGTAAAGGTGAGAAAGGCCCGGAATGTGAAGGTCAGAAAGAGGAAGAGAGGTGCAGAGGGCACTTGGGGGTAGAACAGCTCAGGCAGAGGCCCAGAGGAGGTAAATGAGGGGGGAGGGCAGCTAGGGGCCCTGTTGGTGGGAGCAGGAAGGAAGGTGTGAGCAGAGGGGAATGGAGCAGAGTGAGGGACCACAGTCTTTGTCCCAGGGAGCCTGTGTTTCAACAAGGACCCGTCATAGTGTGGCTCCAGCATCACGTTGAGCATTTTATGGTGTCTGATAGTTTAAAAAGGGGGAAAAAAATAGAGCAGAAACTCCCCAACTTTCCAGTTGTTCTCAGCGTCTTGGTTCGTGCTTGACTACATGGCTTTGGTGGTTTCCATGGAAACTGCTCTGGAAAACAACACGACTTTTTGAAAACAAATACAGATTCTCCTTGACTATTGGTAGGGTTACTTCCTTGTTTGAACCCAGGGTATTTTGGTACCAGGGATTGAACTCAGGGGCACTTGACCACGGAGCCACACCCCCAGCCCTATTTTGTATTTAGAGATAGGGTCTCGCTGAGCTGCTTAATGCCTTGATTTTGCTGAGGCTGGCTTTGAACTCGTGACCCTCCTGCCTCAGCCTCCCGAGTCACTGGGATTACAGGTGTGCGCCACTGTGCCTGACTGGAAATTGAAAATATCTTAATGTCAAAAGTGCATTTAATTCACCTCACCTATCAAACATCACACCTTAGCCTAGCCTACCTCCGGTGTGCTCAGAACACTTAGGTTGGCTTATGTGGGGCAAAAACATCTCGCTTGAAGCCTACCTTATACCAGAGTGTCGAATTTCTCAGGTACTTTATTGAATATTGTGGAATACAGATGGTTGTAGGGTCAAGGACCATCTGTCTTAACACTGGGCAAATGGACTCTGAGAATAGTCTTGTGTCCTGGGCCACAGCAATGGAGTCATTGTGTGGCTGTGGGCGCCACTTCACTTGGATGCTCTTTTTACTCCTTTGAGTACATCCCCAGTTGAACCACACGCCCTCTGAAGCCAGGGCAGATAAGGCTGCTCTCAAGAAACAACATGCAGGACTAGGGTTGTGACTCAGTGGTTGCCTAAAATGCTTGCCTAGCACGTGTGAGGCACTGGGTTTGATCCTCAGCACCACATAAAAATAAATAAGACAAAGGTATTGTGTCCAACTAAAAAAAAAAAAAAAGAAATGACATGCACATTCCGACCCATGTTTTGTTGGTCAAAGCAAGTCACCTGGTTCTCCTGCAGTTTGACAGGACAAGGAGATTAAAGACTATCAGTCAAATAGACATCAATCATGATATCAGAGGGGCGGGGAGGTCTAATCCACCCCAGGAAGGGAAAGCAAATAGTCCCAACAGCAACACAGCCTGCCAYAGCTGGGATCCTGGCATGGTTATGGCTTATGCTATTCAAGATTCCACCAGGAGAGCTGGGCTGGGGCTCAGGGGTAGAGCACGTGCCTGGCACGCTTGTGGCACTGGGTTCGATCCTCAGCACCACATAAGAATAAAGTAAAGGCATTGTGTCCACCTACAACTAAAATATACATATATAAAGATTCCAACAGGGACACTGGCAGATAGGATTGAATCCTTGGTGAGTCTTAGTCAAAGCCAAAGTTGAGAGGGTCCTTTGATGACAGAATGAGGAAGGATAGTTGGGGTACTGGTGGGCTTGGCCCCAGTGGTCAGGGATGTCGAAGAACCCCAAGCAACACAGGAGGGGACACTCCTACATTGAACTGGACACTGTGATCAATACAGGGTCACTTGTCAACACAAGAAGCAGAGATGATAACTGTCACTTCTGGTCACTTTGTAGAAGAGATGAAATGGTAATGGAAAGTTCTTTGGTACTAGTATGAGAAATAGGGCAATGCAAAGGATAAGAATCAATTTGCTGAGGAATTTATGCACAATAATTCCATTCAGGTAATTTTGTAAAGGGCTCATCTGTGCCGGGTACAGTGGCACACACCCTGTATTGCAGCAGCTCTGGAGGCTGAGGCAGGAGAATCGCACGTTCAAAGTTAGCCTCAGCAATGGCAAGGCACTAAGCAACTCAGTGAGACCCTGTCTCTAATAAAATATTTAAAAATAGGGCTGGGGATGTGGCTCAGTGGTTGAGGGCCCCCAAGTTCAATCTCCAGTGCCAAATAATAATAACAACAACGTAAGTGAATAGATAATAACATTACATATCCCAAATAATCACTCAAGCTATTTTTACCAAAATCAAAAAGAAAGGGATGCTCACTATTGCCATTATCATTTCAACATTGTTTTAGAAATTTCAGCTGATGTAATAAACATAAACAAAAGGAAAAAGTTAAGCTGTTCTCATTTTTGTTGATGAAATTGATTTGAAAATCAAAGAATACTAGTGGGAAAAATATTAATGAAAAGTCTTCATAAGTTGGTTGGACATACCATAAAATAAGTAATTTTTGCCATTCTAGAAATTACCAGGTAGAAATGGAAATTGAAATATTCCACTCACTGTGGAAACTCACATGTAAAAATATTGAGAAAAAAATTTAACAAGAAAAAACACATCTTGGTCAAGTGCATTGTGCATGCCTGTAATCCCAGTGACTTGGGAGGCAGARGCAAGAGGATCACAACTTTGAGGCCAAGGCTCAGCAATCTTAGTGAGGCCCTAAGCAATTTAGCAAAGACCCCATTTATATAAAAAAAATAAAAAGGCCTGGAGATGTGGCTCAGTGGAAAAGCACCCCTGGGTCCAATCTTTGGTACAAAAAAAAAAAAAAAAAGTGAAGAAATCTGTAGGATTTTATTCAAAAGCATAAAGCAAGATCTAAACAAGTGAAAGGATGCCCCAAGTTCTTGCATATGAAGATTCTATAACACAAATGTGTCTAGTCGGTTGATGCATAACTTTAGTGCAATTTTAAATAAAATCACCACAGGGTTGAATTATTTTAATAGATAAAATTACCTTAAATCGGGGCTGGGGATGTGGCTCAAGCGGTAGCGYGCTCGCCTGGCATGCGTGCGGCCCAGGTTCGATCCTCAGCACCACAAACAAACAAAGATGTTGTGTCCGCCAAGAACTAAAAATAAATAAATATTTAAAAAAAAAATTACCTTAAAGCTCATATAGACAAATGTTTAGGAATATAGTAGAAAATTGTGAGAGTAAAAAAAAAAGCAAGAGAGTTTGTCTCACGAGATATTGAAACATACTATGAAACTTGTACAATCCAAACAGTATGGTGTTGCCACAGAATAAACAGTAAAAAGCTCAGTTGGTAGGAGCTGGGGTTGTGGCTCGGTGGCAGAGCACTTGCCTCATGGGTGTGAGGCCCTGGGTTCGATCCTCAGCTCCACATAAAAAWAAATAAATAAAGGTATTGTGTCCATCTACAACTAAAAAAATATTATTAAAAAAAAAG